TTAGATTAGATTCCTTTATTGTCATTGAATACACAGAGCATACGCAACGACATTCAGATGCGCTTTATGAAAACAATAATACAAAATATACAAATTATAACATAAACAGCAAAAATATAAAATAAACTGTAAAAATACAAACTCATATGTACAAACCCATCCCTATATATACATTTGTCCTCAAATTTATTCATACCCTCCCATTAAAGAAGGAAAAAAACAGTTGTTACTGAAATAAGTTGAAATTGACAAAAGTAATAAAACAAAACAAAAAAAACTAATGAAAATCATGACATTGGTTTTGAATTGTGGTTAAACAGAAATATTAAAAATAATAATAATAATACAAAAAACAAAAACAAGCATGTGCTGTTTTTATTGGTGTTGTTGGTCCTTTGTCTATTTTTACTGAAAAGCCCAACTAGGGGCGGGAGTTGAAAATTAGCTTATTGCTATACACTCTACATGCAATACATCAGATGTTTTCCATGTAAAAATGCATGGTCCCTGATCAAATAAATAAATAAATAACAAAAAAAATAACATTATGGGCGTCCCTATAGCTCACCTAGCTGAGTGGGGACCCATGAACAGGGACTATAGTTCCCGGACGCAGCAGTCGTGGGTTCGACTCCCGCTCATGACCCTTTGCTGCAGGTCTCTCCCCGTTATTCTCCCCCCTTTCCTGTTTATCTCTACTGCTCTAAATAAAGGCACAAAAGCCCCAAAAATATATCTAAAAAAATAAAAATAAAAAATAACATGATGGGACCCGTAAACTAATATTTAGTTGATCAACCCTTTGAGCCAATCACTGCAATCAAGTGTTTTCTGCAACTCTCAATCAGACTTCTGCACCTGTTGACAGGTATTTTCATTCTGGCCCACAATTCAAAAGCAATATCTTATTTCACTAAATTATAATTTAGCATTTTTTTTTATTTATGTGTGATGACTAAAGACACAAAAACTGTGATGTTTTCATCTATGATTATAATAACCAGAAGGTGAAAAGTTACATTTTTTCGCAAATAAAAAAACACAATACAAACTGACAGAATAGATGCCGCAGAGTTTTGTCAAAATATCCAAACTAACACGGCTGATATGTTTAAAGCTTCTGTTTTATCAGGTTGGAGTGGGTAAAAAAAATAGAAGCGACATAAATTCACTTCCATCTCCACACAAAAAAAAAGAGAATATTTGAATTTTTTATTACTAAGACACCAAATACACACAAAAGTAGTGTTGCTGTTTGCACATAAACTTATCTCACACAAACCTCTCTGCGCAGCGACGTCCACAGTCCCTCGAGGAACTCGGCCAAGTCCTTGTGTTCATACTGCGACACACAAGCAGTCTGAAAAATATGAAATGTGGTCAGCTGTGAAATTAACTTTCCCAGAAACACACAACTTTACTTTCACAAGTTATATACAGCATGAGAGTCTGTTGTAAGCCACTTCGCGGCTTCTCGGTCGTTATAACGGAGTGGCTTTGTTGTTGAAGGGAGTCATCAGCTCTGTCTCATTCACCGCACAGACTTCTTGCAGCTGCTAATACAAGCTGAGAAGTTTTCAGTCAAGTGTTTATATCTCCACCCCTGCGAGCTGCTGCTATGATCAGAGGCGCGGGACATTTTTAGACTTTCTCACCAGCGTGTGCAGCGAGTCCAGCTTCGCGCTCGGAACATCTGAGTCCAGCTTCTCGATGATGAGAGGCAGCAGGAACTGTAAGCGTGCCATACAAATTAGAGCTCTTTCAAACACTGACGGTCGTCTCAGGTCACAGAATCGCTCCAAAAAATAAAATGTAAATAGATTTTGTCCTACCTCTGCAAATTTTGGAGTCCCAGTGAGGACGCCCCTCAGCTCCTGAATTAGCTCATCTTTGGTGATGCCGTGGGGGTCGTTGGGAGGCTGAGGGGGGTGAGGGGGAGATGAGGGCAAAGCAAAAGAGATAGAGAGGTCATTAGAACACAAAGAACCCAACACGTGTTCACAGGTTCATCAAGAGGCGCTGCAGTTGTAAAAGATGTCTGTAAAGGCTGAATGCACTTTCTGCAAGTAACAATGAGTGTAATGTAATACGTCACCAGGCTGTGGCTGTTATATAGATATAATCTGTGTTAATAATTTCAGTTCAGTGATCTGCACTACAGTGATATTCTCTTTTGCCACAGCAGCACTAAGACTGAATGTATTAACTCTGGGACGGTCAGTTAGTGGAGCCCAGAGTTCAATGTGTTTAGTCACGATGTCACTCACTGCTTGAACCATCTTCTTCTGGAAATCAAATTTGCCCCAAATGTAATCATTTTTAGAGTAAGCTAATAACTGTTCTTTCCCCCACTGTTTTTAAGCAAACTTACCTGCACTTTTTTCACTTAATTGTAATGAACTTCTTTTATTTTAATTGTATACTTTATCGTTTCTGTGGTTCTATGATATTTAGTTGGACTGTATTTGGACACATGGTCAAACAAAACACATATTTGTATGTCAGGCACATGTCGGCTTGGCCGGTGAAAAACTGGGAACAAGTATTTGCTTAATGAATAGATTTAAAAAACCTATAAAATAAAATAGAATTGTATTCTTCAATTTTAAGAAGGGAGTTTTTTTTTAATATTTTTTTAATATATTCTCAATTTCTGAAACCAGTTTTGTCAAACGGGGCTTTAAGCACAACTGACATTTTAGTTAATGAAATACTCAAAAAGAACAGGAAAATCTACAGGTATGAGGTTACACAGACTTTCCTGTACATAGTGCTTGTATAGCCATGATCAAACCACGGCCATTCTGAGGCAGCAAAAACCCTGAATAACAGACTTTTTAAAATTAATCTGTGGTCTGTTGCAGATTATGTACTGCAGAGAAGATGTGGGGTTTTGTGTCTTCAGAGGTCCCTACGTCAAATCGGTTTCTGGGATTTAAGGGAGTTATCTGAAAATTCTGTGCAATAATGTCTAATGCGTCAGTTGAGATCATGTTCACTACTGTAATGCTGATGATGCACTTTTCGTATGTTCCCTTTCTGGTTGAGATGGATGAGCTCTGCTGGACTTGAATGTTTCTCACATGGTGAATTGTGCTTTACGTCATTCTAAACCTCACATCTTGATCTGCTATAATCTAATAAGACAATGTTTACATTATATGAGAAGCTTTGTGCCAATGTGCTGTTTTGTTCAGGGGGAGCTGTGATCCTCTCTGATGTGAAGTGTGCGTGAGCAGGCAGGGAGGTAAGCGCTGTATTATTGTTTGTCTGAGGTCACAGGAAGTCGGTGATGACATTTCTGTCTGCTACGCTCTCCTGCTTTCGTCAGTTCTCAGTCCAAAGCAGCTGAGCAAACAGGGACTTACAGGGGTGAAGTCGATGGGGAAATAGCAGGACGTCACTTCGAACAGCTCCTCTGTGAATTTACCTGAGGCAGCAGACAGGAAATGAACAGGAGGCAAAACAGTTGCATAACTATTTACACAGTAAATGGGCTGGAAAGAGGGACAGAGATACAGAGAAAACAAAAGCAAGATCACGCTGGATGTGTTCTCACCTAGATCGTATCCTCGGTCGATGATGTTTTTGGCGATCCGGAAGGCTAACAGGAGGTTGCGAGGATCTCTCTCCCCATCCATGGATTGGACAAAACCAAACACAAAGTCAGCCCCCAAACCCTTCAGTTCTGTGGGAAAGTAAAGCAGGAAAAAAAGGACAAAGTTTTACAAGACAGTTGAGACAAATACAGGCTCAACACATAATATTTGGACCGATAAATTCCTACATGGGAAAGACCACCACGTTGGAGGAATTACAAAAAACAGCTTTAGCTCTTCCTCAACAGGAAGGAGGGAAGCTCTTAGGGTGTAAGGAAGAGGTTCTCAAACCTATTACTCAAAGGCCTGCATGGATCTTTACTCAAGGTCAACGTCTGGAGTGGTTGGTTATAACAAAATAACATTTAATCAGTTCACAGTCAAAATACGGTCAAAACAGTCAAAAATGGCACTGATTGCATGCAGTCAGTTGCATCAGTGTGAACTCTGCGGAATGTTACACCACCAACACCACATCTCTTGCGATGGAATCAGTATGAAACCGAGGCAGAAATGGCTCAGACGTACATGTACATTCACACAAGCTGCATACACTCGTATATAGGAAAGACGAGCTCTGTATCTGCGATTTAGGGTCAAGGGGTAGCTTCTCTGGTCTAACAACAATGTGCGAACTCGACAGCAACAACACACGACTCTCTTTAGCCGTTGCCGTGACAGCAACATCAACAATGGGAGAAGGAGCCACACAAAAACTCCAATCATCTGGAGACAGGATCACTGTGAATAATCTCCAGTTACATCGTATATTCAACATTTTCTGATGAACAAAAAATGTAATTAACGATAGAAAATGTTACACGACATCACATACTGTATTTACGATGTAATAGGTTGGATTCAGATTATTCAAGACTTTAAGAAGCCCTGATGTAATGTTTAGGCTACAAAGGATTAAATACTAATTGACCAGCAACAAAAAATCACAAAGGACTCATTTTGTCAAATTAAGTATAAATAAATAAATAATAAAACACAATTGGCCAGTTTCTAGAAAATTATTTGCCTCCCTAATGGAAAATCTTATACCTGTTCTTGAATCAGTGACTTACACAGATGACGGATACACAGCAGAATATTAGTATTGCTTTTATTTATATAATAGTATAAAGGGAGACAGACATGAGGTCACACTGTGTCATCCCATTTGTTTGTGTTTCCTTCATAACTACACAGAACCACGTCACTGTCAAGCCTCTATTTGCATCTTATACGGCATGTCTATGCAAAACATGCTCCACTAGTAATCTGCCAAACACAGCAAAGGAAGGTGTCAAAAGTTTTCCTTTACTGCCCTCAGATGAGAAGTGACCACACCATTTACCGAGCCAACTGTTGAGATTTGTGACTTACGAAAGTCACTGTGTACTGTTTTGAACCACTAATGTGTGAAACGCCTTTTTGTTTCTTCCAGAGCGTCCCTATTCCATCAACTGAGCTCCTGTGAATCAGATTGAGGACTGTCCATTATCTCTTACCTGCCTCTCTTGTCTCCATGAGGTTGATGAGCATGCTGTAGACACAGGCTCTCTCTGTCAGCATCAGAGACTGGAGGGACATAAACACATCACATGATCTCTTGACATATAATTACTCAGGAACTTTACAGATGAGTCAATTTTACCAACAAAACACATTCATCAAAAGAAGAAGTTCCTTGCAGAACACAGAGGAAACATGAACATCAGCATCACACTCACAAGTGTTTTGTCAAACACTTCATGGTGTGGGTTTCTGTGTAATACGAATAAAGAGTCAGTTTGCTGTGTTCAAATATATGCTGCTGTTATCAGGGACTTTTCTGAATGGAAGAAATCTGGCACACCTAAGAGATTTTAAGCCAACAACGGAAAATCACCAGCATCAAAATACTAAGAATGGAGAATAAATAGAGCAAGTGTTCAAACCATTTTTGTTAATTGGCGTTTCATTTACTTAAGCATAATATGCATTTTTAGTCATCCACTGCTCAGAGATGACATATAAATGCATACGTTTCCATAAGAAAAAGCAACATACAACACAAAGCAGTAATGAATAGTTTGCTGTTTATTTCTGTTCATCAATTGTTACTGTTCTTTACATATTATCGTAAGAATATGTCAGTCTCACCTGTACATGAACGTCCTGGAACAAAGACCTCAGCATAGACACAGCTGAGCCGGGAGGTAACGTTGTACATTTAGTCTGGAAAAACACACACACACACACACACACACACACACACAATATTGGTCATCACATCTGGAGCTTCTCAAATTGATCCGCAAATGTGCCAAGTAGGCACAAACTTGCAAACTTAGCAGACAGTAAATCTTATGCAGGATGTTTGAGATGATGTCACCCAAAATCTATCACAGACGGACTCACCAGCGCTTTGAGTCCTTGTAAAACAGGTGGTGTGATGACATAATGGTCCTTCAGACGGTTTTCATAGAAGGCTATGAGCACTTCCACTGTGGAGAAATCAGACAGGGAGAAATCACTCCTTACATGCATGAACACAGCAAGATAGCTGGCAATCAAATTGGAGCTATTCTGATACATTGTTGATTTGACTGTCTTTCTGAAGATTGCACTCAAATGTAATGTCAGTATTTGTGTATTGTATTGAGAAACTGACAACATCTAGAAATAAAGAACAGTGAGACAGACGTTCTTAACGAAACATAAGAGAAGAGGTGTACCTTCTCTCTCTGTGAGCTCTCCATAGCACTCCTTTAAAACTTCAGAGAGAAGCTGGACTCCTCGGGCTCGAGTGGGAGCCTGAGAACTGGTCAGACTGAGTCTACAGCAGGAGAGAAAATGGAAATGCACATTATTATTAAATATTAATGTAAGAAGAAAGTAGGCAGAGTTTAAAAGGAACCTGGAGCTGAAATGAAGTCGAACATGTAGTGGAGATATTTCTATAGTGGTGCGCTAAAGTCTTCATGAGGAAGACCTCGTACTTGCAAACAATGGATTCGTTAGGGCCTCCTGTGTTTGAATAGATAACAGTCAAATCTCAAAACTACTCAGTACAAAAATTCTAAAGGCAGTGGACATACGTTTTTTTACTCCAATTTTCTAATACATATGTATTTTAAAATAATAATAACGAACATGATGTGTGAATTAACACTATGGTAGAAAGCCAAAGACAAGCATAATAAAGATGAATAAATATACAGCAAGAGACAAAAAATAAAAGTAGATAGGCCAGAAAGATAACTACAAAAACACCTTCACATAAAGGGAATCACTGAGAAGAGACTTTTAACATGACACTGACATCTACAACTGAGGGGACCTGCCGAAAAAATTCAATAACATTTCATCTTGAGAAAGGAAGTAAATATTGTATCATATCATAATTTAGATAGCTTCAGTGAAGTCAGCATATGGGTCCAAATCTCTGCTCAGAGCAACACTAAGCTTTGTTCTTTACCTCCAGGCAGCAAATTTGGTTTGATTATTTTCATTGTGTTATGGAACTTTATGGATGAACACCAGCATCTGCATCTTCCCTCCTGGACTACTGAAAGGGTCAGTCACCCAAAATCCTATTTAATTAAATTATTCGTAAAACTTAAAATGAGCATTAAAAATCTAAAAACATAAAATCTCACTCTAGCTGGCAGTTAAAAACTGGCAACCCTGGTCTAACTCAGTGCTTCTGAAACATTTTCATTCCAAGGCACACCATTTATGAAAATAAGTATTTGCAAGGCACACCTTCACATATAATTATAGCCCTGTAAATCTTCATAAATAGGGTTAATTCCTAGGCACACACTTTAAGAACCACTGGTCTAACCTGCACTTTCTATGATATTAATGCGGATTATGGGCTGAGCATAGAAACAAATGACTGTCTTGAACACAGTGTCTCACATTTTATATTCATTTTACTCTGAAATAACCTGAAATGGTTCAACTATTAGGTTAACATTTGAAGTTCCCAGTATGTCAAAATCCTAACACAACCTCTGCCTGCATACCACAGTGAGATGAGATTAAATATCTTGTTAATTTAGAGTGAAACCTGCTTCTGTAAACTTCTAACTCACCACCTCCCGTGTCTTGTATGCATGAAAGTCAGATGCAGGTAAAATGAAACGTTATTAAGACGGTGCTTTTGTTTTGTTCATGTTATTGTTGTGGCAGATATAAATAATGCTGTGGCTTACCCAAGTGCTTCCACCAGCTGCAGCACTGTAAACTGTCCATCTTTGACACCTGAGCAAAAAGCCAAGTTTAGTGGCCTGGAGTTAAAACTGATATAATACCAAACAACAAACATGCACACACATATAACTCGGTAATCTCTAGTAGTTAACTACTTATGAACAGTATTTGCGGGTTCAAAGGTAAGGTTGAAGAGTTCATTGACAGGATACTTTCAAACGGACACAAACAGAGCAGCTAGCAAAGCAGCATGCGGTTCGACCAAGACGACTAGCATCAAATTCAGACTTCTAGTCGAGTGACAGTAAAATACAGCGGTAGATGTATATTCAGGCTGTGCTGGCGAGGTTATAAAATGAGCAGAAGAGTGTCATAACGTGTGTGGTTTATATCATGAGGCTGTAGCAGCACACAGGATGTTGTGGCGCTAAGTTAGCTAGTTAACCATCATGCCGTGTTGCGCATCCTTGAAGCGCAGCTCCGCAGCCTCAGCGGCGTTTCCCTCAACCGAACAGCTCTGTAAATGTGTCGAGAGAAATATGATAAAGCCTTATTTACCTTTTGCTGCATCCTTGGCCTTGCTGTCCTGTAGTCCGGAGACAAATTCCTCCACCAGAGACAGCAGCAAGGTACTGTCCGCAGCCATCGTGCCCCCTCTCACTCCACTGAGACCACGCATGCGCGAAAAGTTTAGGGTGAAATGCAAAAGTCTTGAATTTTACATCAGATTTTATCAAATAGGACCTTCAACTAACAGTACAGTTGTAAGTCGAAGTCAAATCAATTGTGTGGATGTTTTTCCAGAGGTAAATGTTTGTTAAATTGTAAAAATAAACCTTCAACATTTATCTTTTCGTGTTGCCTTCACGTACCGTCCGAATTCCAAAATACTACAAAGATCCCAACTAGCAAAAAGTGTAATTCTGTCGGATTTTCATTATATACGCCGTCTCCGCCTTCACTGAGGCACGGTGTGTTTTTGAAGTATTAACACCTTTAAATGAATTATCACCAGTATCACTACCAAAAGATATACTCAGTGAAAAAGTAGCTGTGTATAACAGTTATAGGAAACCTCCGTCAGTATCGAATGTATTTGCAGACTCGTCCATTCATAATCGCGTTTCGTCCTGACGTCAGGGAAATCAACACCTGCCTGCGTGCTTACGCGCAGGCGTGTAAAAGTTCGGTGGCGCTAGCTCACCGCCGCTAGTCACCTTTTGCCAGCAGAGAGGGAAGTAACGTTTTGGGGGGTTTAAAGAGAAAAAAAAAATCTGGAGGCACCGTCAAATAACTGAAGTACCGCTTCGTACCGAGTGCCGGGGAAAGCTGTGAATACCTCCTGCCTTTGGAAGAGACTCAACCTGCGGGGAAATAATCTCGAGTGCGCGGAAGTTTGTGTTTACTGATGTTGTTGTAGCTAGCTGGTTGGCCCTGTTAGCCTGTTAGCCAGAGGTGCGCGCTGTTTGGACTTAAACATACACAACTATTCCAACTGAACAGGCGAGTTCAATAAATGCTGGTTTATCGTAACACTTTTAAATACCTATTCGGTTGTTGTTACTGGTTTGGCAGATAAACTTGTAACGCTTGTGCGGGTCACGAACTGTGGCTCTTGTGGGGTCGCGTCAGACACATTTATTCATAAGCAGAGAACATTTAGACTCGACCAACGCACGCCTCCGTTCGGTGATCTTTAACGTCTTCATTCCAACCCGGATGTCATATCAGGCTTTCATCGTTTCTGCACTGCGACCCGTCCTCCTCGTCGGACCTAGTTCATCTGCTTCGTCCGTAATGGGCCCCCAGTTGAGCTAGTGAGACCCAGGGAAACAATCGGCAGCCCGCTAACCATGGGGGGATGTGTGGGGAGATACTGGGAAGGCTGGGAGGACACACAGAGCCGAGGCTCGTCCAGGAACGGTGGACGAGGAGGTAAGACTACAAGTGTGTGAGTTGTGTGTGTATATGTGTGGGGTGCTTCATTAAATCATAAGAATGTAAAGTCTCATTCAGGTTTTTGGCTTTCATGTTGCCACTCCAGTGTGTTAACGCTTCCAGTTCCGCTTCATTGTGTGCATTTTAAGTAGTTTAAACAGAGCTGTTGTATAGGTTGCCTGAGAGTCACTGTATCCAGGCATTTTTCACTCCTTCCTCCGACTGTTACTCAAAATGCATCTCAAGTCACGACTTGCGATTGGGTTTCCATTGCTCACCATTGTTTTCTGTTGAGAAACTGATTGCCGCTATACAGGGGAACATATCCCTCTGGGTGGTCTTTCTCTGTGGCCAGGGAGGCATTTCCATTCACATGATTTCCCACTTAGAACTGTATATCACAAAGCTTGTGTGGATGTGTGCACAAAGCTCGCGTGGGTTGATTAGATAGTGATCATAATGGACAGTTAGAAATGCTGAAGTGTTTTATATAATGCATTGCACAACTGCAAATAAAGAGGAAGGATTGGTCTGATTTGTGGCATTTTGGATAGGATGTTGGTTTCTATGAGACCGCTGGAGACACATTCGTAGCTGTGGGTTCACCTGTGTGCTGTCTGGATTTAACTAGCGTGTCACCTTACATGCGTTTGCCCCATCTGCAGAGCATGAAACTGCTTCCCCTAAGTCATTACTTAGAGGAAGTTCATCTTTTCAGAGAGGGTGAAGCTGCCATGTGACATTGCACCTACAAGAAGGCTGACAATTTTTTCACCTAACAGAATAAGCCTCCTTCCTGGTCTCACAACAGCAAACTTGCAGGATGAATTGCTATCTTAAAATTGGCAGGATAATGGTTTTGTGATCACCATATTTCTGTGCAGTTGCAGGTGAAGCAGGACTTTGTGTTAGCTGCTAACAAAAAGCGGAGGTGGCACTTACTCTCAGAAGTTGCTGATATGCAGATTTTTATTTTTTTTTCACATCAGGGACTTCAGTTCATGTTCATTAGTTATGCAGCGTCCCGGAAGATAACAAACCTCTGAAGATAAATACTGGTGAACTGCCACGTTTTGTTCTTTTACACTTGTCTTTGATAGGAACAGATGGAATCTGGATTGTTGCTTCAGCACTTAACAAGAGTAGATGTTATATTTGCAACCAGACTAAACTGAACATGCTGGCGCCGTGAAGCAGAATTGGCAGACGTTGTGAACTTCTGCATAGTTTTGACCTCAACCAACAATGACAATGATATTTAGCATGACCTTTTATGATAGATGGTGTGACATGTGAAAACGCTTACTTTTTATTGGATGATTAGAGGCTTTACAGAATCAAGTAGGATAGGAAAAGACCATCAGCCTCCTGCTGAGGTGGCTAAAGTTTGTCAGTTCAGCAAATACTGTACGTTGCTGTAGTAAATGGTCGTTTTACTCTAAAGTGAAATGGTGAAAAGGCAGAGATTTCATGTGAGATTTTCCTCAGCTTTCTGTTGTTTGCTGGAGACGTATTCTTAGTTGTAAGTGTAAATGCAGTGTAATTACAGTTCAGTTCCATGTTCACTTTATAGTGGCTGTTTAGGAATGTAAATGTCTGTTATTCATTTGGATGCAGGTTCTGTCCTCTTCGTTTGTTGCTTATGGAAAGTTTTTCAGGCAGTCTTTTTTCCAGCGTGAATTGTCTCCAGTTTACATCAGAACAACAGGAGATTTCTAAGATTGATTCCAGCATTGCTCATCAGTAAAAGGGGAAGTTAAAGTAGACTTTCTGGATTCCTGGCCATATGTTTGCATCTGTAAATCTAGCATCTAATATAGGTTTTTGGAGGCCAATATGATATTGAAAGTAAATTTTTTTGTTTTGTTTTGTGCCAAAGTGGCTATTTAAAGTTGAAGCCATCACAGCCAAGATTCCCAGAGTTTTTGGCAGTGGCTCATGGTAATTTCCCGCCCTGATTGGTATCAACAGACACTCCCTACTAGACCGAGCTTCGATCAAAAACAAGTCACATCATGTCCTGCTGCGTCATTGACTGGCTTTTCCAACAGGACTGAATCTACGCTGCTCGACACACCCTCAGACAGACAGACATGTGAGAGACATGTGAGAAGAGAAGGTCAACTGCAATTTTTCACAATTTAGGTTAATTGGTTCCAGCTCTTGCCACGCATTGAAGATTTTGTCCTTGTTTCCTTTGGATGAGCTAGCTCTGTGATTTGTGTTTCATTGTTAATGCAGCCTTTGCATCACATTTTCTGAGGAACACAAAAGACTCTTGTAACCTCAAAGCTATAATACTCTGACAGAACAAGGTTAGACAACATGTCTAATTTGTAAAACAAAGCGAACAAAATAAAAAAAAAAAACGTATGTTTCTCAAGTGCTTTTGTTACAATAATAAGATTATATTGTGGAAGTGGGGATGGTTGGTATTAAAACAAAGTAACAGAAAATACATTATTGCATTTACAGGCTGAAGTGAGGTAGCTGAAAAGTCCCGGTGTGTTTAAAACGGATTAAAAATCTAAACAGTTATCCAATGTATCTAAAATATCATCCCTGCTTTACAAAAATTATGTTTCTATGCAGCTAAATGGCATCCTCATTTATGCTTTGGAAAAAAAAGTGTGTTTTCTCCCCACAAGGTCAGACTGTGGTGGAGCTTCCAGCGTGAGAGAGCCAGAAAATCCACTACAGGACTTTGACCCAGTAGACGGAGCTCTGTGTCCTGTGTGGGATGATTATTCTAAGAAATAAGGTTTTCTCTCACTCGTTTGGTTGGGTTTAGACACCAAAACTATGCGGTTAGGTTGCAGAAAATGCCACGGTCTGGGTTAAAATACAATCCTTTCACAACATGTTTGAAGCATCTCCTCGATTTTCTGGGTTACCAGGGTGACAAGTCCCGCTGAATCTAACATAAGACTGTTTTTCTGAAGAAGGAGCAACATTTGGAATGCAGTACAATAAATGGCAAAGGCATTTTGATTCAAAACAAACATATTCCTGGAGAAAATGTTTTCCTCTAAACATATTTGAGAGTGTAGTTTAGTCATATAGGAACATACTTTTAGCAAACAGGACTGCAAATGTTTGATTTCTGCCTTAATAGTCCATTATCAACATGTCGTACTTCAGTGTTTAAGCAGACCAGTGTTTGTACACTTTTTGACAAAATAGATCTCAATGGGACTTCATGATTAAATGAAGGTTAAATGAAATAAAAATAATGTGTGCTTGAAGATGGGACATTTCATGACAGCTTTAAAAAAATTCAACTCACCCATATTTAGAGACAATTTGATGTACTTGTCCAATATTGTAATATAATCTGACATGATGAAAACAGTGAACATATCTTTTTTTTTTTTTTTTAACCTTTTCATAGTTCCTGAGATAAGTAGCGCCTAAGTTCATCTTTACTTTGGACTCTGAAACTGACATCAGTAGCTACAGGGTGCTTTCTACCTATTGTAGTAGCATTAACCAACAGAAGGAGCAGAAAATACTTCAGCTTTCATCATATTGACATTAATATTTAATAATAAATCTGCATAAGCTCAAAGTACAGTTTGAGATGTCTGAAATCAACAAAACAGTTCTAAAGTCTAAAGGAAAGTTAATGCTAAGTTAGAGTGAGTGGTCAACAATGACAAAAATTACAGTAGCTCCTGGTCTGCTGAGATTGTTGTCATAAGTAACTATGGAGGCTACAGACGACTTTTTCAAGGTTCAGAGACTGGCTTTATCTTTAGCTGCAGAAACCTGAAGGCACCATTGTGCCGATAAGATAATCAGCCACAAGGATGAGAGCACGTGTGGGAGAGCGTGTGTTCACAGGAAGCAGTCATACATTGATTCAGTGTGTGTTGGGTTAAAGAGGACACTTCCAATCTCACCACTGTTGATCTGCTTCAGTCCACATTCACTGATGTTTGCTCTTAAAGAGGAACACGGAATAACACCCCACATTCATTATTTGCCTCATGTCGGGGGAATGTGGGAGGCTGTTAAATGTCTTTTTACAAGGCCAAAGCAACAATATGTTTTAAGTTCCAAGAATCAGGTAATCTTTTAAAAGCCACCTGTAGCTGCTGCATGTGTTGTTTTTGTTTGTACGCTCGCATAAAGCTCAGAGACGCTTCGGATCCTCGCACATTGTTTATGACACATTTCATTAACATTCATAAATACAACACGCTTCACTGTAGCCTCATCCCGTGGCACCTGTTTTTATGAGCCCAGTGGGATGAAAACACCCTGATATTGCTTCATGTGTCTGCAATGCTCTGCTTTATGTCCTAGTTTTGGTTAAACAAGGCCATTCTTTGAATCACTTCCTTTTGTTACACCCTGTTTTTCACACATGCACACACAAAACCACATGTATTTCCATGAATTTTATTTCTGCCACTTGAGCGCTCTAACCATGGGGCTAGTTTCTGCAGTACTTTGCTATAACCTTAACATTTTTAGCATGTGGTTTTAGTCGGTGTTTTCTTTTGTACACGGTTTTGCTTACTTTTTTAACTCTCTATGAGGAATTCAGATTAAAAGAGGGCATAATAAAAATGTAATGACAGTGCACGCACAATACAAGTCAATAAAGATTCACTCAAGTTGGAAAAAGCTCCAGTGATTCCTTCTATTTGTCTCCGTTTAGTAGGGCTGCAGCTACTGATTATTTTCATTGTGGATTAATCTGTTGATTATTTTCTCAATAAATTCATTTGTTGTTTGGTCTAAAAAATGGTAGAAAATGGAAGAAAGAAATGCCAATCAGTGCTTTTCAAAGCTGATTGATTGATTGAAATCTGTTTGAATAATTGTTGCAACTCTACTGTTTAGTGACATAACTTTACTACTGATGATTTTTATAAATTTTAAAAATCTTTAGATGTCTCATATCTGCTCATGTTGGTAAGCGTTAATCCACCTGCCAGCACCTTGAAAGATCACACAGTAACTTATTTTCAATGATGTTTACCAGGATGAACGATATGCAACAAAAATCATCAGTTATTTTTGACAGATATTGTGATGGGAGTCATCATTTTTAAATGGGATGGGTGATTTTTTTTCTTTTATTCTGTAACAAATACCAAAAATGGTCATGGGATTTTTTTTGTGTGTTCCCTTACATCTGGATAATGTGATTTGGAGGACGGTGTATCTCTGTAGCACCAGAATGCTTTATTTATAATGGCATGTTGTAACACGTTTTATATTTATCTAAGAATTGTGGCCCCTTCTGGAGTCAATCAAGTGAACGTTTTTAGTGTCTTGTCTATCCCAGACGTTAATTCCGCAAAACTTTCCTGGGCGTCAGGACAGTGAACGACGCTGGAATTGCGACAATCGGTTGTGATTTTGACATCCTGCGCTCTGCAGAGTCCAATCGGAGACCACACCAGTGTTGTACGAACGTAAACAAAGGAGGAGGAAGAGAGCCGGGATTGATGCTATAGGCTAACCCCTCCAGACCAGCAGGACCGTTGCTCCTACTCTCCAATGTCCGCTCCCTCCACAACAAGCTGGACGAGCTACGTTTGGTGAGAGAAACCCGCAGAGAGTGGAAAGACTGCTGTGTGTTTGCTTTAACAGAAACATGGCTCCGTGACAACATCCCAGACGGCCATACAGCTGGAGGGGACAACATTATTCTGGGCGGACAGACAGACAGCATCTGCGGCTTCACCATCGTCACACCATCGTGTGTGTCTTTGTGTCCCTGAAGACCTACCAGGACCTGAAGAGGTTCACCATGTTCAACGAATAGCGGCGCACCTGGACACTGCGGCCCCTTCAGGAGGCAGCGACAGTGAACGTTTAATGTCTTATCCCAGACGTGCATTCTGCAAAACGTGCTGATTGAATAATCCTGAAGAAACACTCTCTCATCTTGCCTGTACTACTGTGTATGTACAGCAAAATGACAATAAACCTGATTTGACTTGATTTGAAAGAGATCCCTTCAGATTTTTTAAAAATAAAGCTGTCATTTGTATTTCGTAGAGAATCTACATAAAAGAGATGCAATGTCTAAATATATGCAACGTTTTGTTACTCATTTGTCAACATACACACTGATACCAATGTTTCTACATCAAGCTAGTATCAGGTGATGTGTTAGCCTGGCCTATTTATTGGGCTTGATCTAAAAAAAGTAGTTTTATGGAGGGTTCTGTGCAGAAGTATTTCTTAATCTGACTGCAAGGTGTTTAAATATGATATAGCCACAAACTGAAAGCAGGTTGAAACTTTCCACAGAGATCTGCAGTAAACGTAACATATTTAGATGCAGGTGCTAGTGTATGATGAATGTGTATATTTTGAAGCACTGCACCACAATTAATTGATTGCAATATGCACTTGTCTACAAATTGTAGGTGCTAAAGCTTCTTGTTTTTGACGAGGCATTTTTTTTGTTGTGCTGGCTTCTATATATCACCACCTCGTCTGTGTTATAAGTGTATCTACATTTGGATGTGTCTTGTGTTGCACTATATGGACCACGGCCACAAATCCTATTTGTGTCTTGTATAGACGCCACATGTCTATTAGTACTTTAGCTGAGTGGTGTTGAGGAAGCCCCTTTGCCTGTCTTGGGATTCACTCTCCTCCAAATGCTAATCCTACACCAGCTCATGTCCTCCAAATTACTCCTCCTGAGCCGCCTGCACTATAAATAATTAGTTTGAAAGAAAGGCAACCTCTTGGATGTGTGCTGTCTCCTTTTATACTCTTCTTCATTTTCCATCACTCCACACTTCGGTTTCTGCGTCTCTGCCTCACAACAATTGTAAATATGAACTTATGCAGGTTTAGTACTCCATTTTAAATGGGAATGAAAGAGCTTTTTGAAAACAAACTGAATCAGCTGACATTTAGCACCCATTTAACACATTGACTCTTTCAGAAAACAGCCTGTTCTGTTAGAGGAACGATACCAGATAGCCAGTACAGTAAATCGTGATGAGATTCATTGGTGGGTAATTGTAGCTGGCAGGCTGCTAGACCTGCCCTGATGCTGGTCTTTTGTGTTGGTGTGACCCTTGTGTATTCCCTTCAGTTCAGTAAGTGCGCTCCTGGTCTAGGTGTGTGTTGTGTTAATATTGAATGTTGGGAAACACAGGTAAGGTTACATAGACAGATATAGGCTACACATGCTTCATGCATATTGCAAACTCTGAATGACCTCCTAATTTTAGATTCGGATGACATGTTGGGGCAGGGTGGGATGTTCTCTGTCTCTGGTGACAGCTAGCGTTTCTGTCCACTGCCAGCTCTGCTTATTACCGTTGACAGATGAAAGTACAAAATTTGATTCTGCTCTTTATCAGTCTGCTTATTTTCTGCTTTCTGTGGTGCACACTGAAACATTTTAACGAGGTTATTGTAAAAAAAATTGTCACTGAAATGCTTTAAAACTTGTGTCTGTAGATTTCAGTCCTCAGTATTTCTATTTGAAGATAGTAATTGCACATCTACTTTGCACCGAAACTGCAAAAAAGTAGGTTAGTGTTGACTTCGGATCCTCGTCTGACATCCTATCGTGCTACAGAGCTCTGTTTTCAAGTGAACCAGTGCATTCAACATGACGACGTGCACAATCTTCTGCTGGAAGATGGAAATAATGTTTTTTGTAACAACCTCCAAATGGGCATTTGGGACCCATTTGACAAAATTATCTGACATAAATCAATGAATTTTCTTGTCATTTCACAAACAAATGGTGAGCTAGTAAATGAAAATAAATGAAACCCAAATTAGCATTCGTTAGATTCTTTTTATTCTTATCATTCTGTGCTGGTGAGTTTCCTTTGGCGCTGCCTAAAGCCTCTTTGGAGGCACCAAATATTTCTCTGCAGGAGAAACTGTGTCTTGATGAGGTGTTTTCAGTATTCTGTCTCTGACACTGGAGTTTTGTGTGTTTTCCTGACAACAGCAGCATGCCTGTTTGTGTTTGTAAAGTATCCTTTGAGTTATTAGTGTGAAACATCTGTCTTCAAGTTTCTAAATTAATCCTTTATCAGTAACAATGAGTGTACGAAAAATCTGAGCGATGAGTTAAACACAAACGTCTCTACCTGTTCCTATCGCAGGACGTAACGAGCCCCTGAAAAAAGATCGGCCCAAGTGGAAGAGCGACTATCCGATGACGGAGGGTCAGCTACGGAGCAAGCGGGATGAATTCTGGGACACAGCGCCAGCATTTGAGGGCAGAAAGGAGATCTGGGACGCCCTGAAAGCCGCTGCCGTGGCCCTGGAGTGTAACGACCACGAGTTAGCCCAGGCTATAGTGGACGGAGCCAGTATCACACTGCCACATGGTGAGGACAGAAACACCCTCTGTGTCTGAACTTCTAGGGAAAACTCATGAATTCAGTGAAATACACAAAGCATGGAAAGAAACAGAATCATCCAAGATGTTCATACACAGACGAACCCAGGTGGTTATCATGTTTCTGTATCATTGGACTTGAGTGACAGCCTGTCCTGTTTTCTTTGACGTCCCTCCCCAGGTACTCTGACAGAGTGTTACGATGAACTCGGGAACCGCTACCAGCTGCCCGTCTACTGCCTGGCGCCGCCCATCAACCTCATTTCAGAGCGTAGCGACGAGGACCCCAGCGACAGCCCCGAACCCCCAGTAGCACCCAAGAAGGAATTCCAGCTCAAGGTACAATGACTAGTGCAACTCTTAAAAGATATACTGAGTTGTTTCATCTCTGTATGAACCCATGTGTGGCAGCAAAGTGCATGAAAAACAATTATAACTGTAGAGCTTTTGTAACTAACACATAAATGCACACTTCCAACCATTACAATACACTCACAAGGTCTTTAAAGTTAACGCCTGTTTTTTTAATCATCTGCTGCAGATTTCTAAAGCTGGGGATAATCTGTGTAAATGACTCTCCTCTTTGTGTTTGGTCATTGAAGTGGCATTTAGATGTATAACTTTGGGCAGAATTGCGACAGCGAATGTTGACTTCCTGTCCTCATGAGTCAGCGCACAGAATAAAAAGTGGAAACAGACATTGAGGAAGATGATACACTGGCAGATATGCAACTTAGAAAACGCTTTGCATTGCTGTCCCCAGCCCAACTGTGTCATCTAAAATAAAAAGCTACCAACAGCTATTTTGGGTCACTGTGTTCACTGGGGCTGTAGTCTCCAGGTCAACTGGTTGGTTGATGTGTTCTCATCTGTTCAAGCATTTACTGGTCAGACAATCACCAGCATTACTGTCATAAAGAGAGAAGTGTTACATCAGCAGCCTTACAGGATGAATGCAGTATATTTAGGGGTAGGAGGAATCTAACCTATTAACATCCTGTTTTTTTCACAACTTTGAGTTCACTCAACCTAATGTGGACCGCTAAATGTAACCTATTTAACATTTATTGAACGTTTACTCTGAGTCGACTCTAAACTAAGCGACACCTTGTTAATAAAGTCATCAGTGCGGCTGCATTGTCTTTGAATGAAAAGGCTGTCTTTTTGTGTTATTTATAATTCATTTAAAACAGCTAGCAGGTAAAGTGCACTGTGGCCAGTTTAGTTAATCTACTGATAACATGCAGATTTTTTTTTTTCTCTGTCCTCAATAAATTTGCCGGCAAGTAGGTACGATTTCAAGTCAACCAAGATGTTCTTTATTCGACTACATTGCACGACTCCAGGCTCTTGTTTGACCGCTCTTACCCTCGCTGTTCCTCTGCAGGTTCGACTGTCCACAGGAAAGGACCTGCGTCTCAGCGTCAGCATGGCCGACACCATCGGGCAGCTGAAGAAGCAGCTGCAGGCCCAGGAGGACATCGACGCCACCCACCAGCGCTGGTTCTTCTCCGGGAAACTGCTCACGGACAAGACGCGGCTACAAGACACTAAGATCCAGAAGGACTTTGTGATCCAGGTCATCGTCAACCCGCAGGCCCTCCGAGCCCCCAAGCTGTCCCCGACCACCACTGCCTCCTCACCCGCTTCTGAATAACAGGACAAAGAGGAACGATGGAGGAGTTGTGCAGTGGGTGGCAGATGCTGAAGGACCAGATGTGCCCCCCAATGCTGGATAACTTATTCTTGTTGACAACAGACAATGTTACTGAAAGTAAATCAAACTGTGGAGGTACAAAACTACTTTGAGGCAAAAAATAAACAAAAAAACATAAGGGAGTAACTCAAAAGTGCTGCTTTCTTTCATGTACCATGTTCAATGTGTTCTTCTGCCGAGTTGTTCCAGTTGTCACACTAAGTCTGGAGACATTCACCTGCTTTGAGCCATCTCAAATTGAAGCAGAGCTCGCAGTCTTTTCAGCCACATACAAAATGTGTACATCATGACTAGACTCTGCCTCTGCCCTTTTGTCTGCACTAAGTGCCAACGGAGGAAACGCAGAGGTGTTGGTTCTGAAGCACATTTGTACTACGACACCTACGAACTGAGCTCTGCAATCTTTTGCTCCTCCACAGAAACAGGAAAGGAAAGCAGAGAGCGTGATGCTGAACATTTTCTTTCTTTCTTTTTTTTTCTCCTTCTGTCTTTAAGTGAGGAAATAATGTAAACTGAGCTTTTTTGCACATTTAAAGATTATTACTATACTTTTGTGGTAGTTTGTGTGCCTTCTACAAGATTTAAAAAAAAAAAAAGAGGTTAATGTCCGGAAAGACGTAAGTTTTACCGCTAGGCTAAGCCTTCTGTATTTTTTTAATTCAGGAACTCTTAGATCAATCTAAGCTATAACTGCTGCCTTTTTTTAAGATTTCATAAGTCTTGCAGACAAAGCATATGATGGGTGTGTAAGTGTGTGGGGGGCGCATAAAGAGCATGTGTTTGACCCACATGATACTTTGAAATTTGATGTAGCTCACAGAGACAATACTGGTGTACAAGTCATAGCTTAAGTCATTAATGCTATTTGTGAAGGGAAAGAGAAGCTCCCATGCAACAAGTACTGTCAGAACAGCTGCGTTACTGCGTAATGACCCCCCGCCACCACCAGGAGGGAGCAGCACAGCCCTTATATAATCAGTTGAGTTGCTTTAGAGGTAGTTGTCGTTCTTTTCACCACTTGATGAATGTAAATCCAGTTGTCACTTGCCTTTTCTTCTTGATGTGGTCCAGTAACTTTGAGGACACATATTTGTCACACATGCGTTTTCTTCACCAGCATACAGATGGTTTGATGCGGAGCGGTGAGTCAAACGCAAAAGGCTGCAAAAAGCTGTAGATTCACATGTTGATTTTCAGTATTTTGATTTAGTGACCATCAAAAATGTTTCCTACAAGTACACTCCAGTGTTTCAGACTTTATGGTCAGTTTACTTGCTATGGGACAGAGCGTAATTTTTAACAAATAGCTGCATTTTCCTAGCAGGAACTAGCAACATTACTGCTATCTACTAGACTATAGTGGAGTAGTTTGTTGTATGTTTGCATATTCATACACCAGTGGACTAATCTGCCTTATCTGAGCAGGTCTTTGGACTGTGGTTGAAACACAGATCCTTGAAAAAAGTTCTTGGAGCTAAACATATCCAAACATGGCTAATAAGAAAATAACCCTGATGATGTGATAACCATCTAATCAAGAAGGGCTTGGAGTTTAGACATTTACAGCAAAAAGCTCTCATTACACACTGTAGGTGTGTAAAGAGGAGTTTTTGGAGCTTTACATCTTAAAAGGGCTTAAATTGGGGCTTTCACAGCCTTTGCTGCTTTAATTTTGACCAAGTCTTTCTGTCACAAGTCCATCAACTTTCTGATAGTAGAATTCAAAAATTGGTGGACTCCCCCTTTAATGACCTTTCATTAAAGTTCACAGATTGGATGTAAAAGTGTAAAGTTGGCACCATGTTGGAGGAGTAACAGTCATCACATTTTCCTTCTTTGCAAGCAAACTGAATTCACCAATTTGGGTCAAAGCATCTTTTATTTGGCTGCTTTCTTGTAGGTTGACTAAAAAAAAGATAAAAATCTATGTCTCAGTGTCGAGAAGTCTTTTCTCAAGACATCTTGCTTGTGTTTTAAAGTGTTCTTCAGTGTCACACTGAGCACTGAAGTACTGCCTTTTGAGTGTCCAGTATAGCACAAAGCCATGAATTTACACTGGCAGCTCCTGGCTGAAGTTCCTATCAGGCCAAAGTGTGGCTACGTTCACTGCAGCTCAGGTTGTGAGACGGCAGATTTGTACTGTGAACATCCACTGACCTGCATTTAGTGTTCATATTCCCGTGGATTATCTACGAATCATGATGTAGACATTTATCTGTTTTGCTTTTTCAGTCATTTTATCATGTGTTGCATTACGTGGCAGTGAGTGTTTACACATAAGACAAGACACAACAAAAAACAAACAGATCAGTGTAATTGATCTGTTAGGAGTCCTCTCAGTTTGTCCCATATGCACAGGAGAAAAGGCCATAAAGATTTTCACTTTAAAAGCCACTGAATACCTAACTGTGACATTTAACCAATGCAAAATGCTTTTGTTAAATACAGCTAAATAAATACAAGCAATTTACATTCACATTATGAAGCCGTATTTAAAGTTGCAAGGAACGTGACTATAGTTTTTCTTTATACATATTTGAAACGTACATTTTGTACTTTTTTTTTTTCTTTTTTCTGAGACCTTGGCAAGCTTTTGAAACTGCAAAACTTAAAGCTGCCTCCAGAAGCAAATACACAAACTCCCTGCTTCTGTGCATCGCAGTCGCTAACATGTTCACGTTGATGTCAGATGTAGGTCACTGCTGACCATTCAGGCTCTACAGCTTGATGGGCTTTGCTTTCATTCACCGCTCCTTCCTGTCACACACTTCTCCACCAGTGGAGGGAATAAAACTGAACTGAGCCACAGCTCACCACATCAAGAACGTTTTCTTTCTGTCATATTGTTTCTAACCAGTTTCAGCCTTGATGCTCATTACAATTACCTGTTTGTTATATCCAGGACGTTTTTGTTTTCTGCTTTCCCTTTACCTGTGGTTCTTAAAGGGATATTTGGTAATCTTCGTATGCAAACTTGAATGAGCATTTCTCTCTGTATGTGCAATACAATTAGACATAGACCTCATATCATTTTTGTGTCTGATTCTGCAGATTTCTTAGAGCACCAGCCATAAGTATTGTTAATGTCAAACTCCAGGTACAAGCCTGCTCTGATCTGATTCCTGTGTCAGATAATCAGCTGCCTCTGTCAGTGGTTTTAAATGTCCATGTTTGTCACTTTGAAATGTATTCCCAGCTGTCGCCTTGACCATTGGGGCCCATCGTCTTTTACAGAATAAATATCTAAACATTATAAGTACTGACAGGCTTTGATTTTGCAGCGTCCGTTTAGCATTCTGCTCTGCTCGTCTCAGCTGTGAAGGTCGCTGAGCCTCGAGGTGGGGAAACGCTCTGCTGACAACTTTATCGATAGCGGCTCCCGTTACAGCATCCTGACTGAGGTGAGCCACGGGTGGGTGTTTGTCCCCATTTATCAGTTTGTCCCTGTGTTTGTCCTCAGCTCATCCTCACACTTTAAGGAGTAAGACTTAGTGTGCACCGTTGTGTCATGTCAAACTTAAAGGGGTCTCACGTTACTACAATGGAAAAGGGATTACTGAGATATAAGGTCATAGAACTACAAAAGAAACCTCCTCACATAGTGCTCTAACAACCACTAATTATGCTTATGTAGTTGTCTTCGCATTTTTTCTCCTCAAGTGACCTAGAAATCATTCATCCTCAGCCATCTTGCAAGGTCTTCCAACTGCTTCAATGTATCTCCAGTAGAGAGGAGGCTTTGGAAGGAGCTTCCAATGATGAAACACAGGTTTGTACGCACAGGTGTGATGTGTAAGTGCCGGTGCTTCTTTATGACTGGGGATAAAGCTGTGCATCACCTTCCTAGCATCACATCATCACTGGGAGGCACAAAGATGTGAGGAAGAAACACCAGAGAAGGAAGCGATAACATAATTAAGAGCAACCAGAGAATGGTTGGTCCAGTACGGCAAAGTACAAACACCTGGGTGAACCCTGAGTCTGCATGTACTTTAAAGGTTCCAACTTGTTCCCCTTTAAGGCAAATTATGTCCTCACAGTGTGTCTTTTCTTCAGCTCAGACTAGTACAAAGATGGTTCCTTTCACATGACTGTATAACCCCTGATATTAGTCCTGTTCTAATCAGGCTGTTAGAAAACCAATAAGCTGCTGCTGCTGATGCTGTCTACATCAAGCAGAAGGAAAACTCTCCCTGTATCTGTGATTCACAGCTCGGAGCAAAACAGTTTACCACACTGCAGCCAGAGACACAAATGAATAGGTGAGGTTCTCTCTGGGTTCTCCGGCTTCCTCCCACAAGTCCAAAAACATGTTGAGGTTAATTGATGATTCGAAATTGTCTGTAGGCGTGAATGTGAGTGTGCTTGGTTATCTGTCTCTAAGTGTAGCCCTGTGATAGACTGGTGACCTGTCCAGGGTGTCCCCTGCCTTCACCCTGAGTCAGCTGGGATAGACTCCAGCCCCCCGCGACCCTAGTGAGGATTAAGTGGTGGATGGATGTTGGTTATGTGTCCTTTACTTAAGAAAAAAGCAGCAAGGTTACAGTGCTTGTCTGATTCTCTCTAGCATATCACATCTAAGCTCTGACTCAGTGTCAGACAACAAAGGTCAGAGACAAAGTTAAAGAAAGATCTATGTAGCACAGGCAACATTTGTGTTTGTTTAGCTTTATTTAAAGCTGTGAATTGAATTTTACTCCACTGTGTCCTAAACAACTTCATCTCCATCATCATGGTTAGTTCAGATTTAAGACTGATTCAAAATTTCAGTGACATTTGGTTTGCAAGAAGTAAAGTACTAAAAAAAAGTTCAAGTATAAGACAGGTGCTTTTAAAAGTAGTGCTCAAGTCCGCTTCAAGCAAATTTCAAGTGTTTGACAATAAAATAAGAATAATCTTTGACATCGTGACCAAAGGCTCAAAGACTCATTATGTATGTGTAAGTGGCATCTAGCAGCAGGGTTTGCAGACTGGAATCAACTAAATACTTCTTGCCTCACCCTCTCCTTCCAGGCGAGAAGTTGCGGTAACCGCTAAGAACGCCCAAAACAGGACAGCCGACTTCTCGAGCCACTGTTGGTTTTGTCCATTCTGGGCCACTGTAGAAAACATGGTGATGCAACATGGAGTCTATCAGTTCAGGTGATTATACACTTAAATGTAATTAGAAATAGTAAATTCCATTTCTGCCAGTGGATCCTTCTAAATCCTAAACACTGGACCTTTAACTGAAAGTCACTTGATAGCGCTCAACCCAATTGTGAGGTGTGTCTTCAGAGTTTCACCTTTTTCTTCATTCATTGAGCAACTTTAATGGTTTAAACATTAGTCAGGATCAGCACGAATGGACACTGATTACAACAGCAGTCAACGTAACACATTGTCATCAAAAGTGGGTACATTTCTACATGTCCAAACATAAGTAAGACTCCACAAGGACAAAAATGTGATGGCATGACCACCTGATTAAGCTCATTATAAAAGCTATAATAATCCATTTTGGGCAGCAAATAACATTCAATAGATGACTATCCTTGCATTTAAGAGTTCAGTATCCCTAAATGTATACAGTAGTAGTTGATCATATTTCTGATAAAAGAATGACCATTTCAAAGGCTCTCAAAGAAAATAAATTTCAAACATGTCAACATTACTGACCTCTACAGAATATTTCATGCTTAGTAAATTCATTTATATGCTAAGTTCATTTCAAATCATGTTTTAAACTGTTGGAAAAATCAAATTATTGGGGAAAAAAAATAAAGCATGGTTTCTAGTTTTTCTTCTGCAAATGTTTTATTACAAGCTGCAGCAAGTCCAGATTCATCAGAACCACAAGATGGCGCTGTGCTCATGTGCAAACAGTCGAGTGAACTGGTGCCTCCTGGGCAAAGGCAGAAACACATGAGTGCATAAAAGAAGACACAGCCTTGTTTGTTTCAGACAAGAATCTAATGATTAACAGCATGTGTGTTCCTTGAAAGCAACGTCGGAGAAGTTCAAGGATGGAATAAAGGAGCCTAAAAAATTCTTTCTTATTTGAACCAACTTTGTATTTTTGCATATTGACATGTTTGCGACTGTGCTTCAAAGGAAATCAGAAAATTATGAAAATAAGCTGATGAAAGTACTCCTACATTTCCCAAAATGCTTTTTTAACCAACATCAAACTAAGGGTGTTGCATTTAAAGATGGAACTATGGACATAAAAGTTAAGAATGAAGTCTAAGGTACTCTTACACAGAGTCCAGCAACATCCACAGTAACTTTACTCTGTTCCTGTACTGCATTTCCCAGCAGCCACCTGTTCATCAAACAGCATGGGTGGAAAGGTAGTCGGACAGTCTTTCTAGAAATTTCTCTTCGTGAAGTTTCTGTAGGTGGCACTCTTCACTTTTGCTGCTGAACTGCTGTGAGCAGCAGCACTAATGATAATTACCTTCTGTTTATTACAAACTTAGCAGAGCTGTAAAATGCGTCACCTTATGTCTGGGAGGCAGGAAACTGCAGCGACTAAATGTTAAGAGCAGAAAACTTCATCAGCTGTGCTCAGGTTTAGTAGATGATCAGTCACAGCAAACAGCCGATGGATGCATTTTTTTACTGTTATGTAAATATCGAGCCCATCGTTACCCCACCTTTAGCAGCAGCTATGTCTACAGGGAACTTTTCAAGCAGTACAGCTCTGGACTGTTTCTTTCTCTCTCAGTCTCTGCAAGTCCAGCCAACAGAGGGTCTCCGTGGGGTTGTGGTGCACCGGGCCTGGAAAAAGCCCCTATTGACGGTGGAATTTCACAGGGAGCGCTGTGTTTGCGGTCACTCGCCCAGTCAGCCTTATTCTAAGCTCTGTTCCCCCGCTAACAGACCCAGGATGACCCTGACGCCACAGTTTCAGAGGGGTTGGACACAGGCTGCTGTCTAAGGGGTCATAACGTTGTCACACAGACTTATGATTTTAATTTGACTTTGGATGTCAGTCGTATGTTTTATATAACTCCCACGTCAAAATGCGAGCGTCTCATTTTTTTCCTGGGTGCAGCAAAACCACTGAAGTGGACATCATAAAGTTTTACACTGATCCTTTCCAATGAACTGCGAAGTCATGGCTGTAATGTTGTGAGCTGAATTTAACATACGTTCGCTTTCATTTCTTGTGTCGCTTTTACTGCAGTAAATTAATTGATTAATTGACTATGAGTAGACATGTGACAACATTTGACCTCTGTTGCAAGTTAACTTTTTTTAAGCCGCATTATGTGCAAAAATCTCCCCAAGAAAGTCCCAAACAGACCCGGCTTGTTGAGCTGAATCACAGATTAAGGCTGCACCCACGAATTAGTTAAGTTCTGTCTGTACGATGGAAAGTTTTCCCCACAGGAGGTGGTCAATCAGAAATGTAAGTAAAATAAAAATGTCCAGAGAAAGCTGGACTCACCAGCAAATCTCCCCCATACCGCCCCCAGCAGACATAAGCACCATGTTCCCTTTAGAAATGGAAATTCCCAACTTATAGGCTGTAATTACAACTTCTGCGGCTTCCGTTCCTGCTGACCGTTAGCTTACAGAGCAAAAGCTAACTCTGAAGCTCATCGGTCAACAGGGCTCTGATTGGAACATGTATTCACCATCTCTACTGTCCACTATACTGTGAATCAGCCTTTCTGTCGCGCTGTTCAAACTCTATGCTTATCCGCTGTATAGCACAATGCAAAATTGTCATGTTGTTGGTCCAGCGAAGCATTTGAGCTGTGTTAGCAGAAGTAATGTATCTTTGTATAGCATGTTTGGAAACCAAGCCAGGACCAATTTCACCGTCCACATGTTGTATCTGCTGGCATAACTATAATACCTGCAACATTTTGACTACTCAAATATAAAAAATCAAGGTATCTGTTGGTATACGTCGATCAGGCAGAATTTCAGTCCAAGATATATTCAACGTAAGATATAAAAAAAGCATAATGTAGACGTCTTGAATTGTCTTGAAATTTTCCGAAAGCTTCAAGTTCATGAGTTGTTTTTGCTGACATTAAGTTTATGTCTTGTCATTTTAATCATCTGGGGCTTTTATCTCGATAAAATGTTTGGGAAATTATTGATTTCTTAAAGGCCTTATTTTTTCATTGTACCTTTGGTAACCTAGTCGGTTTGCCTTTGTGGTTTTTCGATGGTGACAGTAACATTCATGTAGCTGTTGCCTTGGAGTGCTGTCCTCACAACCTACGTCTGATGTTGCCGCTCAAATGGCGGATT